AAAATAGGTAGATGTGAAAAAGAGAAAAGAGTCATTTTGACCTCTTATTCCAAAATTAATTCATTGCCAAATCAAAAGATAGGTGTCAAAGTGATTAAGTACTTCTAAGTAATGAGAGTGATTTTGACAACTATTCTCAATTTCTTTTTGAAAAATTGATGAAATTATTATTTCTTTACAACATGATAAAACCCCTTAGCTAGTACTCTTTAGACACCCTACTCTACTCTTAATCTATGGATTTACACGTGTACAGTTCAGTTGCACACATGCTGGATGTACTTTCTTTTTAGATATGAACTTTGGTTGAAAGTTATAGATCATACTCTAGAGACAGAAAGAGGTGGAGAGAGTTTGTATGTGTGTTAGTGCTAGTAATTTGGCTGTTAAAAATCTCACACAGAATTCCTATCTAGTTTTAAATATTAAAAAGCTGCATAATTTAAAAAGGGAGAGAGTAAAAGTTGTCGTTTCTGTTTTTAGGGTACTTAAGGGTATATGAGTGTGCATGTGTATGCTCCTTTGAATGTGTGTGTGTGTGTGTGTGTGTGTGTGTGTGTGGAGAGAGAGAGAGAGAGAGAGAGAGAGAGAGAGAGAGAATTAACAGGTAGACTTCTTGCTGTCAGAGGTTGATAACAAGCAGGCAGGCTCCTCTTTGTCAGAGGTTGACTTTATCTAAACATTAGGCTGCCTTGTATTACCTTTTCCTTGAAAAGATTCTGTATTGCTGTCTTCTTCCAGAACAACGTGTAAAGCACTGCCTCATTTCTGTTTTCTGTAATTGAGAATCCATCATGTATTCTGCTTATTCTGAATGGTCTTGCCTCACTTCTCATTACTCGTGCCCTTGATTTGCTACGGTAGTTGTAGTTTCATGCTGTGCTATTTGAGTTGTTTTGGAAATTTTATACCTTGTAAATGCTGTTTTGAGCAGTTAAATCTGAAAGGGAATGGTTCTTAGTATAAACCACAGGTTCTTGAATGAGTCATTTAGATCATTCCACATATGTAGAAAAATGACATCATTGCCTAGTGCTGGGTTTTCTGTTTATATTATAGTAGAACACCTTATAATTATTATTTTTAAAATCCATTTTGCCTTTAAAAATTTTTTTTTATTATTATTTTTATTTTATGTGTACGAGTGTATTGCCTGCATGTATGTGAGTGCACCCATGTTGTGCAATGCCGAAGAGGTCAGAAGAGGGCTTCGATTTCCCCTGGAACTGGAATTAAGGATGGTTTGTAGCCACCATGTGGGTGCTGGAAATCAAACCCAGGACCTCTGCAAGAGCAATCAGTGCTCTTAACTGCTGAGCCATCTCTCCAACCCCAAATATTTCACTACTTTTTTTGTTGTTGTTTTCACCTTTTTTTTTTTTTTTTTTTCCTTTTGAGACAGGGTCTCCCTGTAGCTCCAGCTGGTGTGGAACTCACTATGTAGAACAGGTTGGCCTTCAACTCACAGAGATCTGCCTACCTCTGCCTCCTAAATGCTGGGATTAAAGGCGTGCACCACCATTTGGGGCCCCATTTTGCCTTTTTAAAGACAGCATAAAGCAAATGGTAAAAGGTACTTTGAGGTCAAATGGAAAATACTATGAAAATGAAACCTTTTGACTTACTAATGCTTTATCTCCAAATACCTAGATAGAATTACAAAATGTGGGCCTGCCTACCTGCCTTTTCATTGCATATTCCCTTGATACATCTTTTCTATTAATTGAAAACATTGCAAATTAGCTGGGCTTGGTGGTAGGTAACACAGGTCTATAATCCTAGCTACTAGTGAGACTGAGGCAGGAGTTTAAAGTTCAAGACCCACCTAGGTTAAATGAATCCAAGGCCAACCTCAGTGAATTAGCAAGACCCTGCCTCAGAATAAAAAGCTAAAATAGGGCTAGGTGTGGTGGTTTGAATAAAAATGCTTTAGGCTCCAAGTACTTGAACACTTGACCCCAGTTGATGGCACTGTCCGTAGAGGTGTAGGAGGTGCTGCCTTGCTAGAGGGAGCGCCCGCACTGGGAGTGGGCCTTGAGAGCACATAGCCATGTCTCCTTTCCAGTTTCTCTACTTCCTGTGCCTGTTTGAAGATGTGAACTCTCAGCTTTCTGCTCTGTCTGCCTCCTGCTGTGCCTCCCCTGCCATGGTAGACACTTACCTTTAGAACTGTAAACCCTTCCTTCTATAAGCTGTCTTGGCCATGATGTTTTGTCACAGCAACAAAGAAGTTACTAATAGACTAGGGGTATAGCTTAGTGGTAGAGCACTTGCCTAACATTCTCAAGGCCCAGGTTTGGTCCCCATGACATGAGAAAAAATGTATGTATACATATACATGTAAATTAACGACACTTGATCTTTTTAAAGTTTTTTTTTTTTTTTTTTTTTTGGTCTTTTTGAGACAGGGTCTCCCTGTAGTCCCAACTGACCTGAACTCACTATGTAGACCAGGCTGGCCTTGAACTCACGGAGATCCGCCTGCCTCTGCCTCCCGAGTGCTGGGACTAAAGGTGTGTGCCACCAACACCTGGCTTTTTAAAAACTTTTTAAATTTAGTAACTCTGGTTTGAAGTCCATAGAAATTTGTTTGTATTTTTATTTTCCTAAATAGGAAAGTTAGCTTTATTTGCTCTTTTTGAAGGCACAAGTGCATAGGAAAGACATAGTATCACTTTCATTTACTGGTTTTGTTCTGTGGAGCCACCTGCTCAGTCTGATAGGTTAAAATTGCCTTATAACTGAAGGTCCGCTTCTGTGTCCCGCTTCTGTGTTCCCGGCTCTTCTCACAGCATATGGGGATGGCAGTGAGGTCACTACTTCTAATCTTGGTCTCATTGTTATATGAACATGATGGTCCAGGAGATTCTCTGGTTACTCAAAGGCTTTTTGGCAACCCAAAGAAAATTGAATTTATGAAAGCCTTTCATTAGCAAATTGTTCTGTTGTATATTTATCTATTTTCTTAAAATACATTCTTTGGTTTAGATTATAATTGCTGCTGTGAATATGTGCGTTTTGATTATATTTTTGATTTATGTAAAATAAAGATGTGGAAGATCTACACTGAGACTGTCTTTTCACTCCCTTCTTTATTTCTCTACCGCTAAGTACCTGCAGCAGAGCCCCAGGGTACTTTTAAAGGCTAAGTCAGATCCAGGTTTGGGAATGGATTACCTCTCCTGTAACCCCACCCAACAGGGAGAAACTTGCAGAACATCTGCCAGCATTGCAGTTTTCATAGCAATAAATAAACAATACTGAGGACTTAAAACTACCATCACAGTCTTTACTTACAGCGTTACTGGAGAAGTCTGAAGCTGAGGAAGTAAGGCATAGAAATAATTTAGGGCCACTGAAATGTCTCAGCAGATAAGGTTGCTACCAAGCCCGATGACCTAAATTCAATCCCAGAACCCGCACAGTAGAAGGAGAAAGTCAGCTCGGAGCTGCCCCCTGACCTCCACACTGTGCTGTGGCATGCACCACCTTCACACACAAACTAAAATAATTGTTAAAGATTTTAAAGATTTTTTATCCTTAATTGTGTGTGTGTATATTTGGATTTGGGAGCCTGCTGACATGGGTGCTGGGAACTGAATTTGTGTCCTCTAAAAGGACAAGTGCTCTGAACTGCTTAGCCATATCTTTGGCCTCCATATGAAATTTTTTTTTGGGGGGGGGGCGGTCTTTTTGAGACAAGATCTCCCTCTAGCCCCAGCTGGCCTAGAATTCACCATGTAGACCAGGCTGCCCTTGGATTCACAGATATTCACCTGCCTCTGCCTCCCGAGTGCTGGGATTAAAGGCATGCGCTACCACGCCCACCCATATAATTTTTTTAATGAAAAAAAATTTTCCAGGGCTAAGCAGCAGATAGCAAGCACCACACTCTTAACCATTGTGTGAGCTGACTTTCCACACCATAGCTTCTTATAATTGCTAGAACAAATTTATTTCTCTTACTCCTTTGTCCTTTCTGTTGCATATGGGCAAAGATGAACATGGTGGTTTTCAACTTTCCTTTGTCACAATTCATTGAAAGAGTTCATGTTTTACAAATTCAGGAGAGAATAGACTAAAATCTGATATCCATTTCAGTTCAAGCTGTGTGATCTTTGGCCAATTAATCTCATTTGTGAAGAGGCTGTGAAAGTGGTACCTATCTTTTGACTCTGGGGATTAAATGATACCATTTACAGTTCGCACAATGACCAGCACTGTAAGTGTGAGCTTGTTATCTCTGTCTACTGTGAAGGTAGTACCTGACCTGGAGCTCTTCCCCCAAGGCAGATGTCAGTCACATTTATTCATTTCTGGTGTTTCAGTACCACCTATCTAGTTGTAGCCTGTGCTGTAAAGAAAAGTTTGCCTGTCTGCCTTTCTTCCCTCTTGCCGTAGGTTTATTCTGTATACATTATTTGACTCTAGATACTTTTCATACCATAGGTACTTTGAAACTGAAGTTCAGGCTTACTCTCTGAAGCATTCCCCATGAACAGCAGGGGTTCTGGACACTGATGCCATCCAAACAGTGCTTTCTAAAGTTTTTTCTTCCATGTTGCAAGTTTTTTACAAAATTTTATTCTGAATCATTATTTTTCTTTTTATCACATAAGAATAGCTTTATTTTGCATTATTCATTTGACTTTTGAGACAGGGTCTTGCTACAAATATACCTCAGTATGGCCTTGAATTCACTCTTCTGCCCCAGCCTCACAAGTGTGAATATAGGCATACACTACTGTACCGGTTTTCTTTTGCTATTTTTGATTAATTTTTCCTTCCAAAAGTTGGGATATGAATAATAGCATAATGTTTACATAGGATCATTACTGGACTGGCAGAGTAGGTAAATGATTCAGGACAAATGTGTGACATATGATCTCTGAGCTAGAGCCTGGATGTCCCTGTTGAGAAATGTGTCTAACCATTAGACAGTAATGGTTAGGTAAATTCTGTTCTTCACTGAATGACTGACTGTGTGCTTGTATTCTTAGGTGACCGGGTTATTGATGTAGGATCTGAATGGAGAACTTTCAGCAACGACAAAGCAACAAAAGACCCATCTCGAGTTGGAGATTCTCAGAATCCTCTTCTGAGTGATGGAGATTTGTCTACCATGATTGGCAAGGTAATAATCAACAGGAAATGCCAAGTGGAGAGTAGCCTAAAATCTGGAAATTTGGAATTTTTCCAGAAGTATCAGCCACTAACAGTGGGGACTCTTGACCTGGGAATAAGATGTAGCAGTGCTAAGTAGACTTGTATTTCTTCCAATATGGAGAGAACATGGAATCACAATGGTTGTTCATTGTGTGAGAGTTTTCCTGAGGAAACAGTACAACATGTCTTTACCCCAGGTGGGGAACCGGTGAGAAAACAAAGTTATGGTTCCACCAACGCCCCGCCCCCAAGGGCTAACTCACAGGCTGCCACCCTGGAGCTTTCTCTGGGACTTGGAAGCAGCTGGACAGGTTGGAGCGTCTCCCTTCAGCAGTTCTGCTAGTCAGAGTCTGCCCAGCGAATAGTTACTGTTCCCATCGCCTTGGGAGCTTATAGGCCTTTGTAAGTTTCAGCATTCTTGGACTTGCTCCTGAGTCTTAGCCTTTCTCCTTCCACTAGGAGGGAGCATTTCAAGACAGAGGAAATTGACCCCAACAACATCTTAGACCCTTGTTCATAAATAACATTTGCATAAAATTCCTTACTACGGTCCTTACTGGTTAATATTGATATGTCTCTTGAGCATTAATGATGTTTTTTCTCTCCATACCAGATATTTCATAAAAATAATGGGAATTTCATAGGACTGCAAAGGATTTGTAACATGTAGGAGAGAGTATGTGCTCAGTAAATGATAGCTTTTGTTATGTGAGGCAATAGCATAATTTGCATTGCAACTTGGTTCTGTTTTACCCTGTTATCTGAATTGGAAGTATTTGTGAGAGTATTCTGAAGACTACTCAAAGAAGAGTGTGTTATTTTAGAATTTTTGTTTGTTTGTTTTTGAGCCAGTCTCATTTTGTAGCCCTTGCTGGCCTGGAACTTGCTGTGCCAGATAGCCTGAACTATAGATCTACCTGCCTCTGCCTCCCAAGGGATGGGATTAGAGGCATGTGCCAACATACCTAGTACAATCTATTTTGTGAAGGTCATTTTGAAAAGTCACTAAAAGCAAGTTATCTTTCTCATATTTCAATTGATAATTATGTATCAAATTTGAATAACATGGTATAGGCTATGTTTAAAAATGTACAGTATTATATGCAGAAATAACATTAAGTAAGATATATACATAAATGCATTTGCTAAGCCTTTCAGACTGGGAAAAAGTATACCAGACTCTTTTTTTTCCTTCCCTCTGAGTCAAGGTCTAGCTATGTATCTCTTGCTGGCTGGGATTCATTATTTAGCTGTAGACAGGTTGCCTCAAACTTACCATGATTCTCCTGCCTCTGAATCCCAAGTGCTGAGATTATAGGTGTGTGCCACTACAACCAGTCTACAGATGTTTTAAAAATTAAAACCCAGAAATTATCACTATGGCTTTGTTAATGTTTAATATTTTCAATAAGAAATACATGACTCAAAAACAAAAGGATAAAAAGAATATGTAACTTTTCCTCACCCTTCATCCCCATAGTCTCAGTTTTTCCTCCAATCCCTTTCCCTGCCTGAAACAGGAAACCACTGTTTTCAGTTTCTCCTGTATGGTTTGTGAGTCAGTTATGTTTATTTATTTATTTAGTCTTTTTGAGACAGGATCTCCCTATATCCCTAGCTGGCTTGGAACTGATTATATAGACCAGGATGGCCTTGAACTCACCTGCCTCTGCCTCCCGAGTGCTGGGATTAAAGGCGTGCACCACCACACCCAACCTGAAAGTCAGTTACATTTATATATGGCCCAAAAAGAAAGACATTTTTGTTTAAATTTTCATCATGATTGTTTTGATTAGCAAGTATTAATTATACATAAGAGTGGGGCTAGACAGCTCAGGTCATTCACCCCTTTACCCCTACTCCTTTTTT